TGGTCTATCAATAGTAAGATTATTGTGTATTAGTATACTAGTAGATGACCAAAGATTATTTTGAAGTTGCTGAAGTTGGATACAAGTGTTAATACCAAGAAGATTAGAAGAGTTAAGTCTTTTGGTATAATTTGTAATATGGTGTTGTAGTTGAATGTCCCATATGTTGCAAATATTATATAATTGTAGATGAAGTAAAGTACTAGTAGGAGTTGTATAACTGAGTTTGGTTTTGTTTTTAACAAGTCCAATATGATTTGTAAGAATTTTGTTACAAGTGTTTTGATTAAGAATTATGTTGTAAAGATGATATTCGATTGTAGAGATAATGACTGTATTAATGATATATCATGCATGTGTATCAGTGATTTGTTTAGTATTTGCAATTTTAATGATAATTTATTTATTTTTAAATTGTGTATTTAATATATATATATATATAATATATGTTATGACTTTACATATATATTATTCAAGATCTTAAACTAATTCTTCTAAATTAAATTCATGATCTTCATTCATAGTGACATCAGAAGTGACATTGTCTTCATTAGAGACATACAAATCCCCTATTTGATTAAATGCTTGATAATGCAAATCTACAATGTTATTAATAATAAGAACTACTACTTGATGATTAAGAATCTCTAAATCATTATCTGATTCTTCATTATTTTCATTTTCATAGTCTTTGCTTATATTATTTTCATTCTTAGCATCAAACAGATAAGACCTTTGAATCAATGCTACTAATTCATCTTTAGTTTTGTTTTTCACATTATATGAAAGCTCTTTATATATATTAAGTAAATTATAATGTCAGATTTTAGTAAGTGATTCTAAATTTTTTAACCCCAATTGTTGTCTTTTTTTACAATAGAACCAACCCAAAATAGAAAAAATGTGTTCACATGACACACTATGTGGAGTTATTACAAAAATTTTTTTTGCTAAAATTTTAAGATTATCAAACTTATCTTCAATAAAGCTCACTATATAAAAGGTGTCATCACTTGGCTATCATATCCAACATTGTATAGAAATTCTTTTTCCTTAAATTTGATAATTTGAACAATAAGAATTTGTGCAGATAATTTATCTTTGTATCCCATCGATTGCCATAATTGTGCAGCATAAAGGGTAATTTGTGTGTACATACCCTTTCTTAAACTAGCGCCTATAAAAAAAATTCAATTATTAAATATACAAATATAAATATACTAAAAATGTTAAAGAATAATATATATATATATCTCAATATTCAGGATGCAACATATATGCTAAAATATATGGTTCTGCTTCAAGTTCATTTCAATGATTGTTAACAATTTCTATGCATTGATTTTGAAATGCAATCATATCTTTTTCTTTTGGCATATGAGAAATAGTCACAATTAAACAAACTAATTGAATAAAACAATCTGCCATTGTACAATCTGCTCTTTCTAATTACAAAATTGTAGCTCTAATTGGAGCAAAAATTTTGGATATTTGTTCCACGTCATGAGAGAATCCTCGAGACTTTAAAATTATTCGTACATCTTGGTTGGTAATAGCATCGAATGATCGTTTAAAACCTTAAAATTATTCAAAATATTAGTATTAGACTATAGTATATTATATAAGAATGTGTGCTACAAAACAAAAAAAATTTACACTTTGCAACATTCATAAAATCAATTATGCTAATTAATAAATTAAAAATCACCATTTCTAATACAAGTTTAAGTCTAAACACAGAATTAACAGGTTTATACGCAGATGTCCATCTAATTTCTATAAAAAACTTCAATCCACCTCTGCTAATATTCAATTCATCTATATATCATTTTAGATAACTTCTAGCCAAATGACTAGTTTTAAAAAAGTGGCATATCTTATTGCAATATTTTAAAATACATGCTGATAATTTACATTTTAAAATATCATGACTAATAAGATTAACAAAATAAACAATACAATGAAGATTGATAATAGAAGGATATTTTTGATTAATCTGCCTATGTGCAGCAGCAATAGCTGAGGCATTATCAGAAATTACTCCAATAAATTTTTCGGGCCCAATCTTAATTAAAATTTTTTCAATCTCATTAAAGAGTAAATCCATTGTATGACTAACATGAGACAAATCACGAAGGGCATATAAAAATTCCTTATGATCAGGGGTTATTATTAAAAAATTATAAATTGAAGCACCCTAAGGATTCATCCAACTATTTAATTCTAAATAAAAAATATAAATTTAATACAATTATATAATTATATAAGTTAAAGTATTGTATAAGTATATTAAAGCTAATTACCAAGTGTCAAGTTATCTGCAGTTTTTAAGTATTTCTCAATCTTCCAATTAATTTTAATCACTTCTTCATTTAATAATGTATTAGAAAGATATTTATGAGTAGATGATACATATGAAGATTGTAAAGATTTAAGTATATCGATAAACCATGGATTCTTAATTATGAAAAATGGAAGTCCACACATAGCAAAGGCTTTAATAATTGTATGATCAATTGCTTCCTTTTTAGAACTTGCCAAAAATTGATTTTCATTTTCCCAATAATCATTAATACTTATTTTTTGTTTTTTTGATTGATTTTTTAAACTAGTTTTTTCTTTTGATAGTTGTCTCTGAACCACAATTTCAAGATATTTGCTTCTTATTTTATCATCAAGGTTTTCATCTTCACATTCTTTTGCAAAATGCACCTCAAGTTCATTTGGATGCCCATGGCTAAATTGAGTATTGCAATATTTACATACTGCAGAAAAATGGCTAGGTGATTTTAATGAGTTGCAGCAAAATGCTCCCAAACAGGATTCAGTGGTCTTCCTCCAGGATGTTTTGAATGTGTTTTATTTTCAGTTTCTCTTTCAGCTTCAGATGAATAATGTGAAGCCATTGAAGATAAATCATTTGAAGTTATTGAAATTACAGAAGATAAATTTTAAGAAGTCATTAAAGATAGCTTATGCGAAATAAACAACTTTAAATAAAAAAAAATTGTAAAAATTGAACTATTATTAGCAGATACTCATATATGTATATTTAAATTCATGACTATTTACACAGTATTAATATTAACTTATTATTATCTATATACTTAATTAGGGATTTGGTCATCTATTTAGTCTTCGCAAAATAACTAGGTAATTATTAGTTTTGAATAAAAAAGCATTTATTAGTTCTTAATTTTTTCTCTTGCTTATAAATACAAAATTGACTCAACCTTATTACATCATTTTATTGATCACCACTTTAGCTTTTAAATTAATGAATATTATACTAATAATTCATGTTATAAAATAAATATAGTCTGATCCAAAATATGGCTTCGATCTATTTTCAAATTAATTACATGTTACATATGATTATTTGGTCACTTCGAAACTATTTAAGCCAACAGTATATATTAAATAATTTTTTTTTATTAATATGTTTTTTTCTCTATTGTTTTATATTAGCTTATCATTATATACATACTTAATTAGGGATTTGGTCATCTATTTGGTCTTCACAATGTAACCAGGTAAGTATTAGTTTTGAAGAAAAGGTATTTATTAGTTTTTAATTTTTTTCCTTGCTTACAAATACAAAATTGTCTTAACCTTATTATATCATTTATTGATCACCACTTTAGCTTTTAAATTAATTAATATTATACTAATAATTCATGGCATAAAATAAATATAGTCTTATTCAAAATATGGCTTTGATCTATTTTCAAATTAATCACATATTACACATGATTATTTGGTCACTTCGAAAATATTAGCCAATGATATGTATTAAATAATTTTTTTCTCATTAAAATGTTCTTTTCTCTACTGTTTTATATTAGCTTATCATTATATACATACTTAATTAGGGATTTGGCTATCTATTTAGTCTTTGCAAAATAATCAGATAAGTATTAGTTTTGAAAAAAAAGCATTTATTAGTTCTTAATTTTTTCTTTTGCTTACAAATACAAAATTGACTCAACCTTATTACATCATTTATTGATCACCACTTTAGCTTTTAAATTAATGAATATTATACTAATAATTTATGTCATAAAATAAATATAGTCTGATCCAAAATCCGACTTCAATCTATTTTCAAATTGATCACATGTTATATATGATAATTTGGTCACTTCAAAACTATTCAAGTCAATGATATATATTAACATGTTCTTTTCTTTATTGTTTTTAGTATCCTATTTAATACCCACACTAAATACATTATATACTGGCAATACACATATGTACACATTAATTATATATGTATTTTAATATCAATATAGGAACAATTGATAAATGTATAATGAAAAATTCTTAAAAATAAATCTAAGATATTCGAATATAAGAAGTTGTAGATATATACTATTGAATATATCTAAGCCATTAGTATTTTATAGGTTAGTTCTAATTTATATTGCTAATACTAATTTAAGATATTAATAGTAATAAACAGTTATAATAATATTCTTATTTTTTTCATATAAATCTAAAATAGAAAATATATAAATGATATAATATGCAACCAAAAGCAAATGTAAACTTGTATGTTTTATAAACTTTAAAGAATTTGTTCTTTAATTATGCAATGCTTAGCTAGAAGCAATTGACTTCTAATAATAAGTTGCTAGACAAATCTACTGATCACTATCCAAAGTAGTAAGTTTTTGGTAACTGATGAAATGAATTATGCCTTATCCCTTTTTGGTATAAATAAGTATCTAACTAAATTAGTATACATATCATGATTGTAGCATATATGCACAAGGCTACTATATAATTCATATAACTCTAGTAAGCTAGAGCTACATACTATATATGTACTGTACATATGTTATGTATATGCAAACAGAAATATAATAAACTATTACTGTATATTGTTTGTATTCTTTACAATAACATATGCTATTTCAATATAATAATTATAGATTTGTTTAGTTCTCACACTGAAGTCTATCACTAAAAAAAAAACCAATAAAATAGCAAAAAATTAGTTAATTAATAAAGATTATTTAAGTACCATATTGAATAATTAATATGTATTGCATATGTAAATTATGTGAATTAGATATACTGTATTATTAAAAAGATTAATATACATCAAAAAAAAAAACTCTCTATGAAGTATTAACATAGTACAAATATCCATAATCAAAATACTAAATTCTAACTTTAAAGAGCTGTTAGAATGATTTTATAATATAAATTTTCTTATTCTAACACTAATCATAAAGAGCTATTTAAATATTTTATAATACAAACTTTCTCATCTTTAACTTTCAATCTGTTAAGCATTTATTCAGATAATTATCAGATATCCAGATCTGAATTATAATAGTTTTGGGCTTTTAATATAGTTTTATGATTTTAATATAGTTTTGAATATGTAATATAGTTTTAAACTTCTAATATAGTTTTGAGCTTTTAGATAGTTTTAGACTTTCGGTATAGTTTCTAATTTTAGACTAGTTTTAAAAAAATAAATTATACCTGAAACTGGTAAAACTAGTTTCAGTTTCGGTTAATTCGAAACTACTAAGTTTCAGGCAGCATCATTCCTGATCACATGTAGACAGCTCAAGAATCTTCAAGGACTGTCATATAAAGGAAAAAAAGCAAAATGGTTTAGTAAAATAGAAGAAAAGATGTTAAAAAACAAATAAGCAGAGAAATACAAAAACAATGCAAAATAAGAAGGTACAATATGCAAGCACTAAAGATTAAGTGAACAAAGATGTCTAAAGACTGAAGAAAAAAAGAATAGATTATTTATGGGTCAAAACATAACCGACAAGTAGGCAAAGTAATTGAAAAGAAAACAAGAAAAGTGTTAGCAGAGCATTGGTCAATGCATATAGAAGAAGGAAGAACATAGACAGAATTAAGCATATGTAAAGGCTGTAAAAACAGTTCAGAACAAATAACAGACAAGTGTGAAAGATGGATAAGACAAGACCACAACGTAAAAGCAATACCAGAGCTACTGATTGAGAAGGCTAATAACAGTATAAATGCAACATTAAAGCAGATACTAAAAGATAAGAAATTAGAAGAATGAAAAAGAGATGAAATAAAGTTATTAGGAATAAGACAAACAAAAGAATTAGAAATAGAATTGATTAGAAAACAAGAATTAGAGAGCATAGTCACAAAGCAGTTAGTAGAGATACTAATATGAAACAAAATGAGAGATAAAAAAAAATACAGTTCCTATACTGATGGAGCATTATACAAGAAGAGAAAAGAAGAAAACAATATAGAAAGAATGGATATTGGTTGGGTACAAATAGAAGAAAAAGAAAACTGGCCAGAGAAGGAAATTGCGTTAGGACTCGAAGGCTGGCCTTCAGCAACAGTAGCAGAATTAGTAGCAATATGAACAGCAATCTTAGCAGTACCAGAAGGAAAGAGCATAGAGGTTTTTACAGACAGCATAGCAGCATTAAGGAACATTAATAGAGCATTGCAAAATGCAGAAAAGGAAAGAATCCTAAAAAAGAAAAATGCAATGTGGATAATGAACATTGTAGATTTAATCAAGAGCAAGAACATCAG